AACACACGCTGGCTGGGACACAGAGTCCAGAATTGATCTTAGGTGTCGCTGGGTATCTGCTAACACTTAAATAAATTATTTGAGAAGAGAAAAGACAGGTATTGGCAGATTCTGTGTTCTCCTGACATCTCTCTCTTTACTCGTCCCGGTTCAGTTCAACTTCGTGCAAGACATACGATATGCACTAATTCAATATCATGCTGCATTCTGCAGACAGTCAGAGGACTTCTAAAGCAAAGTGTCATTGTCTGCTGAGAAGAGGACAGAAAGATCAAAATGAAATGGAGTTTAAGTCAAATTAAAATGTTGAAGAAACTCGTGGTATCATAAAACTTTAACCAGCATTACTCTCACATGGTCGCTTTGGAGAAAGGCCATTCACGGATGCTACAGGAACACTGCACACACTGCTCAGCCAAGTCTACAGGAGACTGTCTGGTATGGAAATGAGGGAATCATTTTGATGATCCAGATCTGTTTAAACAATAAAAATGAGATTCTAGAATCCAAATCTAGAATCTGATTTTTGCATCAACTAAATACCTCTTTGTATCTACATATACAAAATAATCAGGGGGAGGGTATAGCTCCTGAGGTCAATCCCCAGTACCTCTTCTAAAAATAAATAAATAAATAAATAAACCTAATTACCTCCCCTCTCAAAAAAAAAAAACTAAGTAAAAATAAATAAGTATTGTATAAACAAACAAAAACAAACAAAAAATTATTAAAGAGTGATTTAGTGATTTATTTGCTAGATGATGATATAGAGCTTAGATGTTAAATATGGCAGCCAGTGGCCACATGTGGCTACTTAAATCTAAATTGATTACACCGAAATAAAATAAAAAATTCAGTTCCCTGGTGGCACTAGCCCTATTTAAAGTGCTCAAAAGGCATTTTGCAGAAAGACATGTCATACAAATGTCAGGTATGAGGACCAAATACTTCGCTAGTTGTTTCAGGTTTTCTTTTCAAGTGTGTAGCATAAACTTGGAAAATTTATGGTTTCCTTTCTCTGTGGCTGAAATGTGCTTTTAAATTTATTGGCTAGCTATGTGAATTGGGGTCGTGAAAGACATACAGAAGAGTCTTTCCTGCTCAGAGGCTTTGGGGTAAAAAATAATTGAAAGAAGAAAAAGAGTAATCCTTTTAAGAAACTCAACATGCTGGGTTCAAAATCTGTTTTGTGTTTGTTATTTGAATTTATATGATACTGACTAAACAACCAAAAAACTGCTTCTTAACATTTTATCACTTTCCGGGCACATCAATACCTTTTGCGGGGGGTGTTGTCTCTCAATCTCTTGCAACCCCTGGTTCTGAAATAAACTTCAGAAACTGAAGAGGCCTGGGCAGCAGAGGCGAGGAAATCAAAGCGAGGCCAGGATCAAAGGGGCAAACAGCTCGCGGATCTCAAGGTGGAAGTAGAGCCATCGACTCCCCTCGGCTGCCTTTTCCTGGCTCTGTCTTTAATAAACACCCGGGGCTCCAGAGCCAGGTCTGAGGGGAGCGCAGAGGGGAAGAGAGTACTTAGCACTTGGAGAGGAAAGGCAGGCCTCTGTGATGTTTGGGGGAGTCAGCGACAGGAACCGTGGTGGGAAATGTGGAGGGTGCGGAACAGGACCGGTGACCCCGAGTGGCTCCCTCCTCCCCAGCCTGGGCTGCTACAGAGCCAGTCCTGGCTTCGGAGAACAAGGTTTTCTTTAGGGACTGCTTTTCTACAGCATTTTTACGTGTATTTACCAGCCTTCCCCATTATACAGGCAGCATCTGTGAAAACTATCATCTTATTTCACCTTGCCCTTCCCTTGTGTCTATTTCAATAGATGTTACTCACAGGCCAAATATAATGGCCAAAACCAATAAATACATGAAAAGATGCTTAGCATCACTGGTCATTAGGGAAATGCAAATCAAAGCCAAGAGATACCACCTCACACTCTTTAGGATGGCTATTATCAAAAAAGAAAGAAACAAACAAAAAACAGAAAACAACAAGTGTTGGTGAGGATGTGGAGAAACTGGAACCCTTGTGCATTGTTGATAGGAATGTAAAATGGTACACAGCTGTTATGGAAAACAGTATGGAGGTTCCTCAAAAAATTAAAAGTATGTAAATCAACCATACTTTAATAAAAAAACAAAAAGCAAAAAAATTAAAAATAGAATTGTTATATGATTTAGCAATTTCATATCTGGGTATATACACCAAAGAATTGCAAGCAGGGTCTCAAAAAAAAAAAAAAAAGGCCAAAAGCTCTCAGCAGATCAAGAGATGAAGAGCAGAGCCCAGGTGTTGGTGAGGGGGAATCTGACCCGTGACCTCAGTGATCCTTGTCTTCAGCTAACCCTGAACTTCAGTTTGCTATTTCAAAACTGGTAAACTGACTTGCTCTGGTAGAAGAAAGTACTTTATAGAGCCTATTTAAAATGTACTTAAATTTCACAGGTTATCTACTTTGGGAAAATAACTTGCAATAATTATTTTTTAAGATATTGCCAAGGATTGGGCTCTTTCCATTTTGCATTTGGAGAAACAGGTATAGGAGAATTATCAAATATTCAGTGTTATGTTTGCAGCAGGGTAACTGACTAGGGAATCGAGAACTTGGATTCAGTGGTTATAAAACCACTTATGATTTTACAGGTGTCTGTCAAATAAGAGAGAAGCAGAAAATAACTTTAGAGTGAATGCACACATCAGAACTTCTGTAGAGACCCTGTAGAGGCTTATATCTTGCTAATGTGAGTCAATGAAAATCCCAAGAGAACTGGGGACTCCATTCCCACAGTGAAGTAGTTTATGGTTTCTTTCCGGATACATTATATTGTATTGTTTGCTTCAGATTTTTTAAAATTAGCTTTTTTTTTTAAATTCAGGTTTCACCAGTTTTCCTACTGTCTTTTTTCTCTTCCAAGAGTCCATCCAGCTCAGAATACCACATTGCATTTAGTCATCAAAAAACTCGGTTTTAAAAACGTACTTATAACAATAATACATGCACATGATTTAAAAAAATAATAAAGTAGCACCAAGGGACATAAAACAAGTCTCCCCCTCCAAATCACAACCCTGGGTTTCCACCATCTCCTCATCGAGGTTATTTTTTAGGTAGATAAAAGCCCACACCAATAAAACTTCATTTTAGAGCAAAAGGAGGAGGGGAAAGGGTGACATCTTATTTCAGTGTAGAAGACTGTAACACTACACTAACTCTCAGGAAAAATCATAAGAAGGTAACACTTGATAGTCAGTTTAAAGGATTATCAAGCCGTAAATTGAACACTGCAATTTCTTACCACCAGTTTAAAAGAGAAAAGACTGGTTACAAGTTTAGATTCCTTCAGATCATCACCAGGCACTCCACTGGTCTCTGCAGGTCCATTTTCCGCCGGCTGGGTCCCTGACAAGTGAGCAGATAGCAGCAGAGGAATGAGGCTTGGACAAAGGACTCAGGGGATTTCCACACAGGCCAGAGAATTCGGATAACTCCTGACCCCTGGGCAGAGTTTCCGGGTTGCCGAGCCATCTCTGGCTGAGGTTTAACAAACCTCTGGTCTTCTTGCGTGCTCAGCCTCCTGGTCCCACAGCCATGGCTATGGAACTTGGGGTCTGCATGGATCCGGCTCCATCACCATTGCCTGTGACTAGGATCCCAGTGGGCCTGAAAGAGAATCATCCCAAGACTGGAGAAGGGCAGGGGGCTTCCCCCTCCTCTGAGACTGACAGGGAACTCAGCAGGGGGCACAGGAGTCATGTCTGGAGGTCAGCTTGGCACAGTGGCTTTGGAGCCGTCTGGGCCTCGTCTAGATTGTGGAGCATTTCTTGATCCGTAAAACTGTGCTAGAAATACATACTGCACAGGTACACATGTAATGCACAGCGCAGCACAGTGACAATTCATAAGCAGTTTTTGAATTAATGAAAGAATAAAGGAGCATGGTAAATTAAGAGGGCCTGACCTTCCATTCCACACATCCTCTGCTTGGAAACTCTAATGACCTATCTAAGGAATAAGAGAGGAAGAGAGGAGGGAGGGAGAAAGAGAAAGGAATAAGGGGTGGGGGTAGATGTTGGAGCAGGCTGTGAGAATGGTCAGACTGCCTACAAGAGCCTCAGAGACTGTGAGGGGGTGGGATGCGGAAGGGGCCTGGGACACAGACCCTGACACCGCACCCCCACAGGGAGAGAATCAAGCACCGGACTCCTCTTTGCTGCAGCCCCAAGAATCCTTTCTGCTTTGACACCTGGAGAATCCATCCAGAATGAAAATATTCAAGCTCTTCCTGAGGTTGTCTTGCAGCATTCTAGAAAGGATAAAGACGGGTGGGGACTGTGGCCTGAAAGACCCTCCCATCATGGAGCCCCCTTTGAGTTCAGTGACAGTAAAAGGTCCTGGTGAATCAGGGCTCAGGTTCTGTGAGCAAGACAATCTCAGGGCTCAGGTTCTGTGTGCAAGACTGTGGTGGAGCAGTCCCCATACCGGACCATGACTTTTCTCCTTCTATAAAGTGATTTCAGTGACATCCAATTCAGCAGACGTTCACTGAGGGTCTAGAGAGGTGTCTTGTGCATAGCAGATGTACAAAACAGACACTCAACAGACCTGAATGAGAGAAGTGGGTTCCTGCTGAGGCTTTATAATCTAGGAGGGAAGCAGGTACATAAACCGTAACCACAGTACAAATCAGAATAAAATGGGAGTCTTAAATGAGGCCTAAAGGGCAGAGGTAAGAGGAAACTTCACGGTGCCCCTTTCATCTCTTCCGTTCCTGCCAGACGGGTCCTGAGCACTATTGGGTATCTCCAGAAGGGATCGCAAGCCTATAAATGAGCTCGGAAAGGCGCACTGTCAATCCTGCTGTGTCTAGGGTACGCTTACTCCTAGGCCCACGGCGACATTCCAGACAAAAGGGTCTCCTCCCCTCCCAGCTGAGTTTACTGCCTCTCTTTGAGGTCCCTTTATCTGCACCCTCGCCTTCTGATTCCAGGACTTGTTAGGAAGCCTCGCGGAGGACAGGGGATGGGCTGTTTGACCAACCTGGTACAGGGTCTAGCACATAGCAGGGGGAGTAAATAAATACCTTTGATGACGACAGACAGGACGGCAGGCAAGGCTCACTGACCGGGCCATGGGAGAGATAGGCGGCCCCAGGACCTCGCCGCCCTGAGTGGGCGACCTGACCTCGGATGAGGGCGGTTCCGCCGCACTCCGCCCACGCACTCGGGCCCCTCGGGGCTGTCCTCCCGGAGTAGACCTGCTCTGGGGGATGTTGATTGCGGTGGCGGTGGCGGGGCGGATGGACGGGGGAGGGGTCGGAGGGGGCCTGGGCCCAAGTTCACGCCTCCCTCCCTCCATCCCACGGGCAGCGGAAGCGATTATTCCCACCGGCGTCTGGCGGGGCGGGGGGCGGGCTCGCACCCCAAAGAGACACGGGCCTTCCTGCGTCCAGCCCTTTGATCGCGCCGCCACCCCACGGCCCCTCCCCTCCGGTCCCTCGGGGCCCCCGTACTAACTAACGAGGCCCTCGCCCCTCCCGGCGGCGCACTGGGGTCGGGCAGCGATGGCCACAGCGGAGTCCAGCCAGCTCCAGTTCGGGGAGAGCGCCGCGTCCCCCGCTTACCGGCCCGCCCACGCCGGCGGGGCGTTCCTGCCGCCCCCGAGCCCGGGCACTGCCCTGCTCCCCGCGCGCCCCTCGGGCCTCGGCTCGGAGCGCGGCGCCCCGGCAGCCTTCGCGGGCTTTCTTGGGAGGGGTCCCGGGCCCGCCGCGCCTCCCCACGCCGGCCTGGGCCCGCCTGCGCCCCCCAAAGGCGCGGCCGTCCCGTCGGCGTCGCAGCGCCGCAAGCGCACGTCGTTCAGCCCGGAGCAGCTGCAGCTGCTGGAGCTCGTCTTCCGCCGGACCATGTACCCGGACATCCACCTGCGCGAGCGCCTGGCCGCGCTCACCCTGCTCCCGGAATCCAGGATCCAGGTGAGCGGCCCGGTGCAGGCGGGCGCTTTCGCCGGTGCGCCCCAGAGTGGAGGCACAGGGAGCAGCAGCCAGGATTCCCAGGGCAACACCCCGGTGCCACGTACTTGACGTTGGGCAAATTACTTCCCTTGAGCCTCAGTGTCCTAGGCTGTGAAATCAGTACCTATTGCCCAGGGTGGTTGAGACTTAAATGAAATCATTCAGGCGCACGCTCAGTGACTTCTCTCTCTCACTACCAAGTATAGTAAGGGACCCTCCTAGGAGACTAGTTGGTCTCTTGAAACGGCCAGAAAGTAAACCCTCAGCACGAAGATGATAGGAAGTATTTTCACACTTTTTCCTTAGAATAAGAGACAGACGAGGACAGGTGAGTTGTTCTTTCTCCCTGGTATGAGAATGGTAGCTGAGACAGGGCAGGGCTGCCTCACCAAGTTGCCCTTGGGCCCCTAGGCCACTTTCTTGACGGGTATTGGGTCTGGAATTTGGGTTGGAAAGGATGTAGCATCTGGAGTATATGGCATTTCTTGTCACAGTTTGAAAAATCTAGTGCAAGGTATTGCCTAAAGTAATGTGGATCAGAATCCTGGAGCTAAGTGATGATGAGAATCTGGTCGTTTCTGCCTGTTAGTCTCCAGCACCTTGGTCCATGTCCAAGTGCAGGTTTAAGTAGGAGCCCTCAATGTAACAACTGGGAAAGAGTGGACTTGTTTTTCTGCATCCTTGGTGGAATACATCTGTCAGTTTCAACAACTGGCACAGAACTTTCCTAAGCAGGACACTCTTGGTATTTGCAGGGGAATAGTGAGAAAAAAAAATTTATTCACAGAAGTGAATGAAGTCCACTGAACAAAATACCTCCTTAACTAATTTGACAAGGGAGTGCACTTTCAAAAACGGATTTTCCAAATTGTCTTTGTGCCCATCATCTTTAAGGAGAGTAGTGTTTTTTCCTAAAGTTCTAAGTGCTATTTCTGTGGCCTCATTTTTCATTGCAACTGTCCCTATATAAAGTATATACGTATATATTATAAAGTAAGGTATATAGGATTAGGTATTATTCTAATTTTGCTCCTGGGAATGGTGAGGCAGAGAAAGCCAGGTGCTTTGATTTTGTGAAGTGTTTTGTGAAAACCATAACGTTCTGGAGCAGGGAGCCTGAGCATGTTAAACTGAAACTTACTATGAACTATGAAGGTAATAGGAGCATAAGCACTCCAACTGAAATCAGTTTCTCTCTCCCTTCTTCCAGGTGTGGTTCCAGAACAGGCGCGCCAAGTCACGTCGTCAGAGCGGAAAATCCTTTCAACCTTCAGCCAGACCGGAGCTTTTCCTCCACCACTCTGCTTGTGAAACTGAAGTGAAATATTTGAAGCCCCAGCAGCCTCTGGAGGCAGATGTGAACTGCCTGTCTGATCCCAACAGGGTTGGAGGGGGCATGTCTGACCCTAGCTCCCAAGGTCAGAATTTTGAAACCTATTCTCCTCTCTCTGAAGACATTGGTTCAAAGCTGGACTCATGGGAAGAACACATCTTTTCTGCCTTTGGTAACTCTTGAGGAATCTGGGAGAATTCAGGATAAGCTCAGAGGAACCATAACTGACAGCCAGGGAGATACACAGTAGAATACTGCCCTTTCTGGGTTCCATGTTAAGTTCACATCCATGTTAACCTTGGTAATGGTTTTGAGTTATCGCTCACCTGTGAAGATTTCATCCTTCTTGCCCATGAACCTTTGCCTATAGCCTGTTCTTTCTTCGTAGGACACACCCCTTAGGAGTTCTGGCCATTTACTTTTACTAGTGCATCTCCATATCTGTGCATTCATTTTGGTCCACATATCTGCTCCTTCTTACCAGTCCTGTTGCTATTTTTCGGATGGGTTATTTAAACTTATCTTCACAAGAACTCCTTGGTTCAACTCAGTTTCCCCTTGTGCTTGACAGCTACTGTCTACATATGGTTCTTCCAAGGCTTGTAACCTTAAACTCATGCTAACCATGCTCCTTCAATCCTCATTCTATCACCCAGATTTACTACTTTTTAAATTTGGCTTTTCAGCTTTACACTCATTTGTAGCTCCGATGATTCTCTGTCCAGATTATTCAAGAGCCCCCTGCCTCAAGTTTCTCAACTTTCAAAAAACTACTCTCTTTAGAAATCTTTAGGAGCCTCCAATTGCTATAAAATTGTAAAAACCTTTTGGTTACTCTTCCAGCTGATGGGCATCGATAGCCCACAGGACAGGCATATCTTCTGAAGGTCACCGTTTCACAAAACATACCTCTGTCTCAGAGCCACTCTTTTCAAACAAATACCTCTCTACCTTTCAAAACACCCTAGACCTCCCTCTCTCTGAAGGCTTTAATTATCTCTGATCCTGATTTTGTACCTGTTACTTCAATTACTCCAGCATTACCCTTAGCACTTGTCATTGTACTTCTGTGCAACTTTATTGTTATTAAATGTTTTCCACAAATGTTTCATTGTATGTCTATTTAAACGAGTTCCATCCTTTAGATAGCATTTAGTACAGTGCTTCATTCCATAATTGCTTAGTCCATATTATGTGGTCATGAAAAACATTTCTAAAAGTTTCTGCAAATACAGTTTATAGCCAGTAATTATCCTATCAGCAGGCCACTGTCCTGAGAAATTTAACTTGGTTAAGTCTGTCCGGCTTGTTCAAAGTTTAATAACACGAGTCTTTTGGTTTCAGATTTCTCTTTCCTAATTTATGATAAGAATGTATGTAAATGACTGTTTCTAAGTTAGCCTGAGATAAATTATCATTTTGCTATTTTGAAGGTTTTCAAACTCCTGAGGATAAAAGGAAACTGTATACAAGTTAACACAGGTGAGGGTTCTTTGTAAGCTGTGCTTTAGAGGCTCATGAGAAGCCATGGCTAGGGCTGGGGCTCACGTCTTGATGGTTATACAAGAAGATTCTGAGCTATGTTGAATGTCTTAAAGATTATACATGCCAGTTATCCTAATTTTCATAGAGGTGTTAAATGGCTGGCACTTTTCAGAGTAGCAAATCTACTGTTAAAAGCAACCAGGACATAGTTCAGGCTTAAAGTAGCAGACTTGACTTCTGAACTCTTGAAAACTGTCTGAAACCAAAAATGAGACAATAAACAAATATTAGCTATTATTATTTTCAGTGCTTGCTATGTGCCAACCATCGTGCTCAGGGCCTATTGTTGGGGTGGCCAGGAGGTCTCACAGAGAGCTTTCTTTGCATTTAGACTTGTACATGGCCAAATGAGATGGTACACATTCACAACTGAGACATACAATACTTTAAACTTATGGTCCACTAAGGATCACATTTAAAAGTAAATCTTGTAATTAACTCATTTATGTTATTATTGCATTTACATTGTTATATTCTGTTTTCCCCAGTGAACAGTTTAAAAATCTACAGATATTTAAATCTTGTCATATTTTTTAATGTGGGATCCTCTAAGAATAGTAGTCTGCACCGCTCTCAAACTCTCAAGAGACCTTAACTGCTAAATGTGTTATACGCATTATCTGTTTAATCCTCAACTGCCATATAAGGTGGGGATTATTACCATTTCAAAGATTAAGAAATTTAAGTCGTGGTTCACAATCACAGAGCTAATAGAGGCCAGGACTCAAACCCAGGACCAGCTCAGCCTCCGCTCATCCACCACCACATAACACCTGCTATATTGGCTTGGCCTTTTTAGCCAGGGCATAATGACAATGTGATAGGTTTAAAGGCAACTCCCGAAGCAGAATTTCTACATCCAAGTGAGTCCTGTCTCATCCTTCAAAGAAATCATCATAAAGAACCATACTTTAACTTCAGTGACATTAATGTTACTTAAAGCCCTTTTGAAACTCTTATTTGCTCATTTGTTCCACAAATATTTGGTGCCTATAGGCACTTTATCAGGGCCTGGAAACAAAATGGTGAGCAAAACCAGAAATGGTCCCTCCAGCTATGGAGTAAAGAGGCCAGTATGGAGGCAGAAGAAATGTAAAATTGCAAATGTGACAGAGTGCTGGAAGGAGAGGTACATAAAGACCTGGAGAATGATGTGTCATGGTCAAAGAAAGCTTCCCTGAGAAAATGATGCTGAAGGTAAGATCTGTAGGATGATCAGGAGTTACCAAGGTAAAAGGAGAGGGAACATACAGGGCACGGAGTGTACAAAAGGCCCTGTGGAGTAAGGAGCAGGATGGAGAAATTATAGGGGAGGCCAGATCATGCATGGCTGTGTAGGTCTTGTAAAAGAGTTCTGAATTGTCCTGAGAGCCATCAGACTTTAGATGGGGAGAACATGACCAATTCCGCATTTGAAGAGTATTGCTCTGGCTATGTTTGAGGACAGCTGAGTAGATACTGGGAGATAAGTGAGGAGATGCCTACTGTGTTCCAGGCTAGTGATGACGGCAGCTAGGTTGAGTACTGGTGGTGGAGATGCATGAATTCAAGAGAAAATTTAATAGGCAAGTTTTTGGGTAGATTCTCAATGGTAGCAAGTGAATCTGATTTTTGGAACTAACAGTAATTCAGAACCAAATCTACATAACATGTGGTGCATTTGCTTGCTCAATCTGGCTTTGATGCTTTTCATTAGAGCTCCAGTGTTAAGCAGTGGCAGCATCATTCAAATTAATGTACAGCTGACCAAAATGACTACTTTAAATTATATAGATTTCTTCTTCCTTAAACAGAAATAAAATTCAAATATATTCTTAAGCACAGTTCTTGCCATCAACACACAAAGACACGGAAAGATATGGACAGTGCTTATATATGTGCAAAATTGATATAACTTAAGTGTGACAAGTTAGCCTTAAGCAATGTAAAAGAAAAAAATGTTAAAATGCTTACCTAATTCTAGGAAGAATATATTTTTAAAAAGTCGAATCTTTTTCTAGATCTATAGTAAGCCACATAATTTACTTGCTTATTGTTTTCCACAGTAATTACTCAGTGATGGAAAAACAAAAACTCTAAAATAATACTGGATGGTATTGTAATTCAAAATGACTTGGTAATTAATCCGTGCTGTTTCTCCTAAAAACATAATTTAGTGGAAATAAGTTTTTAAAACTTTTTAAATAGAAGGAATACTTATCAACTTGTATTAAATGAAAATGCAGATCATATTACTTTTCATAGATCAATTTATTTAGAATTACAAATATTAAGAATAAAAGATTTATGCATTTCTTAATTAACGTAACAGTTTAGCTAAATATAAACTCTGCACTAAAGTTTTGCAGTGGCACAATACCAACAAAGAATATGGAAGCATTTTTAAACTATACAAAAATTTCAAATGGAAAATAATCTTGTTTCAGTTTATTATACATTAACATATAAAAAGTCTCATTTTATGAGACACCTAAAAGAATCAAAGCCACTTCTACAGCTATACCTTAAACTCCAAATCTGAAAACAATTTATTATATTTTGACTTTATAATATTCTATATTAAAACAGAGAAAATTCCAAATACATACTTTTTACAAGATTAACATTTTAGGCAGGGTTTTCCTTAAAAAACCAAAAACCAAAAAAACCCCACAACCAAATACAAACCTTTTTTCTCCATTTCCTAGCACTGGCTATTATATTTGTTTTCCTTATAAAATCTTTTTACTTTATAAATCGTGTACTGTTGGATTTTAACCAGTAATCTGGTTCAAAAGTTGTGCAAATAAACAAAAAATATGAAAATAGTGTGTTATCAGTCTTTTTTTTTTTTAAATAAATCTCATAACAATAGCACTTTTTGCCCTGAATTGACGGGAGAAGACATGCCAAATCCACTTGCTGAAATTAAGCATTTTGTAGTAATGTTTCTTTCCTGCTCCTTCATTTTCTTTCAACAGACAAACAACAAAGGTTTCTTTTATAAATTATGATAAATTAAAATATTTATTATTATAAAATGTTCTATAGAACCATGTCACATTGCAAGTATATTTCACATATACTTGTGAAGTCCATATTTCCCATCTATATTCCAGTGGCTTCCTTAAAATGAGGACTTCCCATAACTCATGTAATCTTTTGAAGACTGAGGTGGTGATCAACTAGATGAACTGGAGCTGTAATTTTTGGATGAAATTTCCACACTGCCATGCATAATGCACAAAAAGACCATGTTTCTTCATGTTCTCCACTGCAGCAGTTGTCTGCATGGGTTGGGTTGAATTCATGCATGTTAAAAAAAAATGGTCAACATATTCTTCCATGAAATTATGTTCAGACATTTTCAGTTAAAAATACTTGCTAATAAACATATGTAACATAAGCAGTGCTACTGCGGCTGAATAATAAAAGAAAAATAAATTTAATGCTGGTCAGCAATGCTGGTTTAAGAAGCAGTACAGTATTTTAAAATGCCTTATTTGGAAATTTAAATTTCCCTTGTTTTCCAGCAGTTAGGTTATTTGGTGTTGGAAGCCTATATAAAGGAAAAGAACTTCTCAAAAACAATGTCCTATGCAGTTGGAATAATTAATTCTTCTACTCAGTCTCTGTTGGTGTTATTTGCTGCAAAGGCATGTAAGTTTCCCATCTGGCTCAGGCCGCTCTGAATATGTGCAACATGAATTTCTACATTATTCTGAAAGCAACTAAAGAAAAAAGAAACATGGTTAACTACTGTACTTCACAAAATTAATAAAAACAATTTAAAAAAAAGCTAAATTTTAGTTAGGAGACAGTGAAGATAATGACTCCAGGTAAGTAATCTGCTTACATTTGCTGTAATTCTATTTCAGTAGTAACTTAAAAAAGTATGCTTAAAAGAAGCCACCAGGATACTGGAAAAAGACGACAAATCTTTCTTTGACTGGGAAGTCTTCTAAGTTGAACCTCCATGCTAAACTCAAACCTAAATATTATATGTCTTCTGATTCCTTTATATAAAAAAACCATGTGAAATTTCCATTCTATTAACAGACTGGATGTAACTGAGAAGCTAGTTTACACTTTACTTAAAGGATAAAAAAATCATATGACTAGTTCATAAACATGCAAAATTCTTAAAGCTTGTACTAGAAATCACTATGAATTTAATATAAAAATGATTAGATAAACAATAAGTTTATACTGTATAGCACAAGAAACTATATTCAATATCTTGTAGTAACCTAAAATGAAAAAAGAATATGAAAAGGAATATATGTATGTATATGTATGATTGAATTATTATGCTGTACATCAGAAATTGACACATTGTAAACTGACTATACTTCAGTAAAAAAAATGATTAGAGTACATCTAATAAATTACCTGATATTAGAAGCATCTATTGTACTCTTGATATCATTTAATGAATCTGTAAGTGATTTAAATTCAAAGGAATTCAGGTCTCCTCCTTCTGCTAGACACTAAAGGAAAAAAAATTTCAAAATTTATTAAATTATAGTTCAAACAGACAAGAAAAAAAACCTGCTCTAATATATGGGTTATAATTTTCTAGCAACAAATTAGCACATTTGTTTAGGTGTCAAAATTAAGAAAATATTCTTAATATTTTCTCTGAAAAATTCTCTGAAATTTACCTTAATTTGTAACAAAATAGCTGTAAGCCTAGAGATTAAGTCTGTCAGATTCTCATTTTCAACACAGGGCTGTCCTGTTGAGGAATTTGCATGCCGAACAATTTCCTGTGCTTCCTCCTCACACCTTCGTCTCATATCTGTTGGCTGATCTGCAGGCTGGAGCCCTTGGTCTGGAGCAAGCTGAAAACAGATGATCGAAATGTAAGATGTAGATTCATAAGGCCATGACAACTTCTGTGTATTTGTGCCCTGTTTTCAGATTTGTATTTTTATAAAATTAGCATTTATAACAAAAATGATGCTTACTCTTACCTTAGAAGTTTTTTCTCCTCTAACAATTTTTTTCTGACTTGTTTTATATATTTGGTAACTTTTAATTTTGATATAATGTCAAGCTTCTAAAAAAGAATAGAACATAAAAGCCCTTGATAACCTTTTACCCAGATTCACTAACTGCTGACGGTTAACTGTTTGACTTGACATTTGATCTTTCTCTCTTCGTATATATGTAATATTTCCCGCTTAACTATTTGAGAGTATGTTGTAAACACTGTGCCTCTTTATCCCCCAATCTCCAGTCTGTATTTCCTAAGTCCAAGGATATTCTCTTACATAACCATAGTGCAATGACAGCAATCAGAAAATTTAGTACTGAAAGAATACCATTTTCAAACAGTCTAAATTCAGATTTCATCAACGGTCCCACTAATGCCTTACACATAGCTATTTTTTCCCCCCTGAATACATTTGGTTGTCATGTCTCTCTAGTCTCTTTTATTCTGGAACAGTTTCTCAGTTTTTCATGACCTTGATTTTTTTTTTTTACATTTTTTATTGATTCAGATGACCTTGATATTTTTGAAGAGTACTAGCCAATTATTTTGCATAATATCCCTCAATTTGGGTTTGTCTGTTTCCTCTTGATTAGATTGAGGTTATACATCTTTGGCAGGAACACCACAAAAGTGATGTTGAGTTCTTCTCGGCGTGTCATGATTAGGAGGCACATGATGTTTATCTGTCCCACTCACTACTGCATCTTTGATCACTTGCTTAAGGCAGCTATGCGCCCCTAATCATCACAAGAGAGCTTCCTCGATCATTCTTAGAGCAGCACAGCACTCCACTGTGGGGTATGCCATTAGTTATTTAGTCGATGGGAATCGACTGGGTATTTAGGTTTTTTCTAATATTTTGTAATTATCAGTAACACTACAATGAATAACCTTATCCTCTAACACTTAAAATTTTTAACTGAAGTGTACATAAATATATAAAAGTATACACATCATAAAGTGTATGGGTTAATGAATTTTCTGAAATCAAACATGCCTGAAAGATCTCTAGATTAAGGAACAGAACATTACCAGTTCCTCAGAGGCCTAATGCCATTTTCCACTGTAATACTCCAAAGGTAACCACCAACCTGACTTGTAACATCATATATTAACTCTTGCTGGCCTCTGAGCTTTACATAAATGGAATCAGGCACTATATATTGTGTTTGACTTAATCTGTTCAATATTTACATGTTCTCATATGAACAAATATGTTCACATATTTCTGAGTTCATCTGTGGTGTTGTGTGTTGTTGAGTTTATTCATTCTCATTGCTAAGAATTCCACTGTACGTTATACGACAGTTGACTGGTTCATTCTAGTACTGATGGGTATTTGGGCAATTTCTGACTTTTTGGCTATAATGAACAATGATGCTGTGTACATTCTAGTCTATGTCTTTTGGTAAATACACGTTCACATGCGTTTGGTATATACTTAGAAGTAGAACTGCTTAGTCATAGTGTTCTCTCTGATATGTTCTTATTTTAAAATCAGTATTGTACTTCCATAAGAGCTTTGTGAAAATGAAATCATTTTACTCCATTAGGAAACGAGCCTATCATATATGGCCTTGTGTACATATGAGATATAGAAAGACATGAGCAACCCACTTCCGCATGTATTAACACCTTTTTTATGTCCTCTTAAACTGCTTGGTTTGCACTTCTTGTGGATGGTTGCTAGTCCAGGGGGAGAAATCTATCTGCTAGGGCAACACTTATGTTGCTATGTAGGTAAGTGACAATTACCAGGAAAATGAAAATAAATGACAATGGATGGCTAAAGGAACAAGCAAAATATACACAGTTTAGTTATAGGTTATCATAGTTCATTTCTCTCTGGTCAAGTGGATTGATAACATCACCTATGGCAGATCATTGGGACTCAACTACGAGGCTAGTATCATAAAAAGCTGTTTAAGAATTTCGTATTACAAATAGAGGTGGCTTTACTGGAAACACACAACCTCTAAGAATGCAAATGTAGGAACATTCTAAACTCAGCTCAGTCATTTAATTCTTACCTTATAGTACAAAACTCCTATTTTAGATGAAAATGTTGAACCACCTTCATATATATAATTATATGTGCATGATAATGATAATTCACAAACAACCCTATAGTCTACGTGATTGAAGGTCAAGAATCTATAGTTCTAATGTAAAGTTTAAAAAGGAGGAAACAAAATTATATATACAGCATGATCATAACTTTGTGAGAAAAAGCCGGTAGGTTAAAAAAAAGATTAGGAGGAAATAAGCCAAAATAGTCTTTGGGGTAGTGGAATTAAGAGCAATTATTTTTCTGGATTTTTCTAAATTTTTGGAGAGCTATATCATTTGTAATTCAAACAAACAAAAAACTAACAGAACTGACAGCTCGCTGTGTATAAAGCACTCTTCAGTGCTGATGCTGTAAGGAATAAAAATATATGTATAAAATACAGTTCTGTTAAAGGATCCTATAAAGATATTGGCTTAGTTTGGATTTTCTAAAATGTGATGTTAACAGTATTAAGCTTTAAATAAAAGAGTAGCGGGCACAGCCCTTCTAGGGAAATTCATACAAATTACCTACCTCATAGCAGTACTGTTGAACTTTATGCAAAACTTTATTTAGATCCTTGTTCAGCTGTTCAAGCTCTAGAACAATTGTTGCATATCTCCGCTGAAATTCAATGCCAATGGGCATGGAATATGATTTCTGAGAAGAAAAATAATTCAGATTATGATGAAGTTTCTTTTTAGCAATGCAATTTCAATTATTTAATAGGACATCTGACTTATTCAAAATAAACTAAAGGTTATTAAAACTACTCAATGTTATACTTCTTAGATGTGATAATGGTATGATTGTTATTTACGCAGTCTTTAATATACAGTAATACCCATGTATATGTATGCCTTGCTCATATGCTTGTGTATGTGTGTGTATATGTGTATGCAAGGGTATATATATAGAATGACTGTACCATGATTTATCTAACCAGTCTTCTTTACATGGGCATATTGTTTCCTTTTTTTTTTTTGCAATTACAAACAATGCTACAATAAACACTCTTACATGCACACCTTTGTGCATATACATGATTAATTCTCCAGAATGATGCTCTAGAAGTGGAATTGCTGGCTAATCAATTTAGCCAAGCTACCTTCTAGAAAGGCTTCAGTAAATTATATTCCACCTATAGTGTATGAGTGTGCCCACTTCTCCACACATTCACTAAAGCTTTATTTGAAATATTTACAAATCTAATGGGAGGACTAGTCTGAAAAGGAATAGAAGATGGGAGAGGTATAAGTTGTCTTCAAATATTTTAACAGTTACCACAAATAAGATGTTAATACTTTCAGAGGGGTAAAACTAGGACCAATGGAGTCAACATAAAGAACTAACAATGAGTTGGGATGCTTTTTTCTTCAGTTTTGGGAATTTTTCTTCTATCATTGTTTTGATAACTCCCTTTCCTTCATTTTCTCCGTGCTGTCCTTCTGGGTATCCTACTGGACCTTTTGGATCTTTTAGGATTGGTCTTGTGTCTCTCGTAATTTTTCTCTCATATTTTCCATTTCTGATTTACAGTCATACATTCTAGGATCTTCAACTTTTTCTTAACCTTCTATTGAAAATATTAAGAAAAATTTTATAATAGAAAATACATTTGCATGGTTTAAAATTTTAAGTCTCCCTCTAAACTCAGCTCCCTTGCTGCTTGCTCACTTGTTTCTCTTCAGAAGCAACCAATATTATCAAGTTTCTTCAGCATCTTTCCAGAGAGTCTCTATATATTCAAGGAAAAATATGCTTATCTTTCCCCTCTCCTAACCCCACTACTATTTAAACAAATAGGAACATACTTACATATTCAGCACTTTGCTTTTCTCACTAGACAAGATATCCTAAGGAGTGTTCTATATCAAATTTTACAAAAATTGTTTGTTTAGAGTTGCACAGTGTTACACTGTAGAATTTGTTACAAATATAACCAGTTCCTTACTGTTGGACATTCAGGTTATTTCCAGTCTTTAGGTACTGCAAACTGTGCTGCAATGAGTACCTGTGTATTCATTTTGGACAAGGGCAAATATCTCTGAAGGGGAAGTTCCAAGAAGTGCAACTGTTATATCAAAGGGCTTGTGCATTTTTAATTTTAATAGATACTGCCAAAATGCCCTTCACAGAATAGGTACTAATTTATTTGTAAGACTTCCTATTTCTCCACATTCTCACCAATAATGTTTTATTACAACTTTTTACTTTTGCCAGTCATGATAAAAAGTAGGATGTTGGTGTATTTTTAATCATGTGAATTCTTTTAATTGTGATTGACTTTTTTCACCCTTTCACATATTCAACAGTCATTTGTATTTTTTCCTATGAACTGTCTATTCACATTCTTTCCTGTCTTCTGGGTGATCTTTATCTTATTCCTTGAGGGAAAATTTTGTATATAAAAGAAATCAGTCTTTCGTGATATGAATTGCAAAATATTTCCTCAACTTTTTGTCTTTTGATTTTACTTACATGGTGATTCCTATCATGCAGAAATTTTTTATTTTTATGCAGGTAAATTTATCAATCTTTTCTGAATTCTGGATTTTGTGTCATGCTTAGAAAGTTTCGGTATTCCTTAAATCTATGAGCTCTTTCTGGTTCTTTGACTGCTTCTTTTAATAGCATTCTATTTATGTGCTTTGCCCCCAAGTCCAGTCACCGAGCTCTCCCTTACTTTCATACTTCCCTACAACAATTTTCAATTAATTGGAGATGGTACTTGAAATGAAATCTAGTCCCCATCCTATAAACATATAGCAACTTACAACTTTCAATACAATTAAAAAACTTTCTTAGTGAATATATTCTACATTAAAAAAAAGTCTGGTAATTCTCTCCTATGAATAAAATTGACTCTCATATTTTTGTACTCATTAGATTAATAAAATAGCATATAAACTGTCAAGATAACCTCACAATACCAGCTTATATATTTCCTGATTTACTTATTCTGAATCACTTTTAAATAACCTCTGCTAATATAGCTTCCTTAGTCAGAGGCACCAATGCTAGGGATTCTACACTCAATGCAAACTGTCAAAGAACGTAATATGGATCTATCAATCCTATTGAACTGTACAGTCAATGGCATAATGAGGTCTGGGGTAATGAACTGCGCTGCATTGTTAATTTACTTAGCATGTGTTCAGTATAACAAGAGATAGAGCAAATCAGGACTTTAAAATAATATTTTTCTCAAGGTTTTCTTCCATAAAATATTTAAAAATCCTTAGATATAGAAATCCTCACCATTTTAAAATGAGACAAGCAAAGAAAAAAACAAAAAAATCCTTACCAATTTTTCTGCTTCTGTGTTCATTTCCCTTAATTTCTTGATATGTTCTTTTTTAATCATGAGAATTTTTGATAATCTAGTCTATAGACAAAGAAGAGATGTTTTGGAATAAACAGAGGCACTTAAGTATATTAGATAGACATCAAATTTCTAATTTTTCACTGAGATATTTTAGCAGATTTTAGTGTTTCAATATAAACATAGCAGAGACATTTTATTTTATAAGTCTGATTGGCGTAGAGGAAGATATTGTAAAATCCACTGTAACTAAGACATGTCAAAAGGACTAGGGAGTCAACTTGAATAGGCTTTAACTGGTCCAAAATGAAACAATTTGTAGATTAATCACAAAAATAACTACAATGGATTGAAGCACAAATATGTTAAAATCCATGAGTTCATACTGATACTTAAAATTAACCACTACTGAAGAATACTAGTGCCCACACTCATAAACTGAAAAACAAAGAACCAAGCATTTATCTTGCCTTTCCTACACAAACTATACCATTAGGCAACGAGATAACAGATTAAAGGTTTTCTTTATAGAACTATTTCAGCTAATAAACAAAGAAAGAATGACAGAACAAGATTACCACCATTTTGCAATCCTAATGAATATATGGATCTAGGCATTCATAATTAGCAGCAGCTAACATTATATTAAAAAAGAAATAAAATAATACGGATATTCTATCAGAACACAAAACCACCCATAATAGTAGTCACATAAAAACAAGTAAACCGACCAAATAAAAAACCCAAATCATGGCAAACCTTTATATTCAATGAGCAATTTATATGAAATACAAAAGACAGAAGAACCTGTTGGATGATATCACAAGGATTCAGTCAGCAAAATCCAGACTGTAGGAGCCTCTATGGACAAATAGCCCAGTTTCTTTAACAAATAGTTAAAAGGGGAAAAGAGCAGTCAATATATTTAAGAGACAACTGGAAAACTAGATGCTGACTGGATATTCAATGACATTAATACTTTTTTGCTAACTTTTTAGATGTAATAATAATATAGTTATGTCTCTTTAAAAAAAAGGGCCCTTAGCCCTTAAAGAAATATAACAAAATATTTACAGATAAATGATATGATGTCTGATATTTGCTTCCAAATAATACAAAACAGAGAAAGTGGGTGGGAGTATAGATGAAATAGAACTGGCCAGGAGTTGTTGATAACTGTTACAGCTAGACAATGGGTACATAGAGGTGTATTACACAACTCTGTCTGCTTTAATATGTGTTAAATTTTTGATAATTAAAAAAAGTCTAAAAACTTGACCTAAGTTGACACAGGTAGAGGAAGGGCCTGGTGAGATATGTTACATACTTGTTTACCCAGACCCTTATTAGTAGGTCCAGAGCTCTTGACTGGTTTCCTTTCTCCTCTAGTTGTTGGAGTTTATGTAAATTTGTGTGATTCTTTAAAGTTAGAAGTAGTAAAAGATGGGATGAAGGCAACAGTCTCTCTGCCATTTTTGGTTTCTCTTTCAGTTTTGTGTTGCTTGATTGTTTTTGATAGAAAATCATGCTGTTTCCTTTTAATTCTTTTCAAAATTGAGTCCTCTCTCAGAAGTGGGTCAGTCTTTTTAGATTCCTTGAAATCCCTAATCCAGGAAATAAAAAATTCCCTCAAAAAGAAAATTCATTATAAACTATGAATTATGAAATTGCCCCAAAAATGTTTTATTTCGTTATAAGAAAAAAAATAGGAACAGAAAAAGATAAAAACATATCCACCTATCTCAAAGCTTAATATTAATAAAAGCAAACCTGAGTTTCATAAAACTTTACGTATTACAAGAGACAAGTACATGAAAGGACTTTTGCTTTACTGCTTTTACCTAGATAGCTTAAAATAACGAAAGTACAGTTTTAAAACTAGCTTTACAAGTAGACTTTTGAAGTTAAAATTAACCACTGCAAGCAAACATAAAAGCATCAATAAAAATATCAGTATTTCAGAAATAATGCATTAATACTTAGCTTCTGACTCCCTCTGCTGGTGGACCTTTCTGCACCCCCCTCACCTCGCCTTCTCCCTCACCTCTATTTCTCCAAATGTGACACATTAGCTCAGTTTTTAGTTCCACTACTTAAAAAAAAAAGAATGTCTTTAAAAAACAAGTGTCCTATTTGTAAAAATGATAAGCCTTGGCTCTTTT